CTCCACCAGACAATCATCAATTTTTGTCTTCTCCTTTGGAATTCTTTCATGCTCATATTTCCTCAACTCTGAAAGAAGATACCCAAGTCTCCATTGCCTCTTTTAGATCTCATCCTATATTATTCCTTTTATCTAGTCAAGCTCCACAAACATGCAGCCTATACCCACAGTCTCCATTTACTTTCCTCTAATTGCTTCCATATGCTTCTGCAATCTGTGTCATCAACAATGAGCTGAAATTTCTCACATCAAGGACTTGGCTAAATTTAATGACAACTTCAGTATCATTCTCTGGAACTCTCTACCACATAACAAGTGTTTCTCCATGGATATTCCCTTACCCTAACTTGAAAAAACATGTTCTTACACTGCTTATACTGCAGACTTCATTTCCTGATATGTCAACCTTGCCCCAAAAAGTAAATGTAGGTCTAAAGTTTAATATCATATGCTCTTTTGCTTGCTAGTTAAATGATTATCCACAGAGATGTATGTGATTTATTGGTTTAATTCTCACCAGTTGAGTACTGCCTATTATATTTTCAACATTAACTTTCCTTCATTCTTTCTAATCTACTAGGGGGAAAAAATGTATCTTAAATTCCTGTAATTAAATTCAAAAAATTCTAAAATGAAAAAGTTCTACCTTTTACCCATTCAAATAAAAATATCTTCCTTTCCAATTTTCTTGTCTTCATTAGAGTCCTGTTGCTGGCTTATAAATTGATCATATGCTTTGACTACTTTGTCTTTTTAAAAATTTTGTCCTGTAAATGCAGAAAAGTGCAAATATAAAACATTTAAGTCATCTCAAGATAATTGCTGTCAAATTTTGATTTACTTTTGTATTATTTTCTATTTCTGATATAATCAGGATCACACTGTGCATTTTATATCTCTAGATTTTTTCTTAGTACCATAGTGTAATTATTTTCAAAATAATCAAAATCTATTTAAAAGATAATTTCAGCAGCTGCTGAAAAAATCTCCATCATATGGATGCACCATGACTAACGAAAATGTTCCCCTAAGACTGAACACTTGTGTTATCACTAAGCTCATTCTATTTTCTTGGCACTGTGTATTAAGGAAAGTATTGCTTTTAAAATTTAGTTCATAAAACTTTTAACACAAAAATATAAGGTAGTCAATGAATTAATCTCTTTTATTATAGTTTCACTCTTTGCACACAGTAATGAGTTTATTATTACTTATTATTTAGTCTTCGAGTAAGTAACTACTTATTTTATTATTTAGAGTTTGAGACATCTGGAAGTTAGACAATACAGAGAGGTGATATTCCAATTTTATTTTGTCCACTCCATTCTTCCACAGTGATAGATTTAGTAGTCTATATTTGCATTATTTGGGGATGCTGATTTCATATCTATCTATATATCTATATGTATAGCTACATCTCTGTAAGCTAAAAATTTTATTTCTAAACTCTTCAGCTTTATTATCACTTGGTTGATTCTTATGTGAACACTTCTGAGTTTTAATTAGAGCATAATATAATTACCTTCTTAATAGAACAACCCCTAATCATTACACATTTTTTTCAAAATCCATTAAGATTTTATAGTCTATATACTATTTCATATGAAGATTAGGTTAATTGTATTAAATTAAAATAATTTGGTATTTGAATAGAATTCCATAAACATTTAAAATGAATAGGAGAGAGCTCTATTTTTACAATATTTAGTTTTGCCACTCAAGTCTATGCATCTCTCAATTTAGAATTTAACGCACTGATTATCATGTGGTTTTCCTTATGAATATCCTACCCATTGTGTGTAAAGTTGTTTCTCAGCTTGGGTGATGGTGTTTTTAATAGACAATTATTTATTGACTTCTTAGTATGTTCCAGGCACTTTGCTAAGTGTATTGCAAACAATATTTTACTTCATTATCACAACAATCCTGTGACATAGATAAGATTGCCTTACTTAATTTAACTGATAAGAAAAGTTAGACTTTAATAGTAAATATTTTCAGGAACCAAAATGCAATAAGTGATAGAAACTGGACTCAAATCCAGATTGCCTAGCTCCAAAGTTTCTAATGTTTTTGTTAAAAAATATGATGATAACTCTGAAATGGAAACAGATGTTAAGGAAACAACCTAAATTCAACTTTTACTATGTTTTTAACAAATATGTTACTTAAAATTTTTTAAATATTTTTCATATTATTTTAAATAGTAACATCACCTCTTTTTATTTGACTTATTGGTATATTGTCATTCAAGGTCACCCCTGTGGTGTGTGGGACCCCAGAAAAATATACTTTTGCAGATCTCCAAAATGCACTACAAAATTTATGGGTCCATGCAGGATAGTGATTTATCAATGATGATTTAGAATAATGGGTAGAGAAGAGGTAATTACATATTTATTGTCTAATCAGAGCTTGTGAAGATTCTTGACAGAGTTAAAAAGGCACAGTCTATTCTTGTTCATATCCAAGAATCATCTCTTCCTGTTCTTTATTGCCAAGTGCATAATTTCTAGCTAATTCCTTCCATGCTTCTTCAAGAAAGAGGTGGCTCCTGTTAGTCGCAAAGCAGTGGTTCTCCAGAATCTGTTTGTATTGAAATAATATAGATCTTCTTGGTCCTATGGTTCCCTAATACCACTTGATTAATTCTGGTTACATCATTACTTATGATGCTGGGACATATATCCTGCCAACTACTAACATAAACACTAGCTCCTCAAAAGTTGTTACTGTACTCTACTGGTGATTACCACAAATATAAGTCTTACCCAAAGCATGCAGGTAAAAGTAAATGATGATTTATTTCTGCTGCTGCTGCTGCTAAGTCACTTCAGTCATGTCTGACTCTGTACGACGCTATGGACAGCTGCCCACCAGGCTCCTATGTCCACGGGACTCTCTAAGCAAGAATACTGGAGTGGGTTGCCATTTCCTTCTCCAGATTTATTTCTAGTCATGCTCAATTTACCTTTAGGATATTTATGGCATAAATATAGAAAAACAACACATCTTCCAACCATGTCCTCTCTTGAGTAGTTTAGGCTGTTATCACTGCATTTCTAGAATGTGATTTCTTTCCATGTAGATTACATTCCTGTCACCTACTCACTGCCATGAGCAAGAGGGGCCATGAAAGGAGGGAGATGAGCCATCACATTCATGCAAAGAGTGGCCGTGCTGCGTGTGGCACAGCGTAAGGCCAGCCAAGGAGAACACAGTGTCCCAACATCAACTCAAAGCAAAAGAGGAAATGTGCAAGAAGGGCCTGATGGCATTGTAGAGCAACTGCCGCAAAGTCCGAGGGAGAGATGGGGCAGCCACCCCAGCAAGGCTGCCTGACAGGTGGAGTGGAGTTTCCAGAGTGAGCGAGTGACTAGATACAAGTGGTGACTAGTTCTAGGAAAGAATGCCTGTTTCTATCCTTACCACTTTTGGATGCTGTAGACTGGAGGTAGCACCGTGGTCATAATACTGATGTACAAGAGCCAAGGCCTGCTCAGTGCTCAAACCCAAGGATCGGTGCTGAACTATGGATAGACAAAAGCTGTGAATTTGTCCTGTGTCCCATGTGAGTGAGAGTCACACAAAATCAGCGTGTCAGTCCAATTCTGACAGTCCAGTCTTGTTTGGTTCACATCATGCCAGTCAGCAGGAGTGGTCTACTTGCCAGGTCACTCAGATGGCTCTGATGCCCAGGCCCAGGGTCCAGGGATGATCTCATAGGCAGATGATCTATATAGTTCCTCTGGGAATCTGATCAACCTTATAGATGGGTCAGAGGGCACCCAAGAGACTATATGGATGGATGGATAGATAGATATGCCATATATAAGATATATATACACACACATATATACCACATACACATAAACATACATATAAAATATCCTGTTTTATCATATGAAAGTCACTCACTCATGTCCAACTCTTTGAAACCCCATGGACTATACAGTCTATGGAATTCTCTAGGCCAGAATACTGGAGTGAGTGGGTAGCTTTTCCCTTTTCCAGGGCATCTTCCCAACCCGGGAATCAAACCCAGGTCTCCTGCAGTGCAGGCAGATTCTTTACTGGCTGAGCCACAATTCTATGTATATTATACTTATATTTATAGATTTCCTAATAATCAACTCTCCTTGAATAACCTAATTTTCACAAAAATCTCTTTTCTGACTGTTAGAGAAATTTCTTTTTTGGAAGAAATTTGTTCTTGTACAAATCTGGATTCCAGAGTTCAAGTTTCCTAATGACTAGTCCATTTTTGTTCTTGATAGATTTCACTCATTTAAGGTATATTTATTTTTTACCACCTATGTGTCAAAATAATAATCATCAACTTTTATTGAGCACTTAGCATGTAATCCTCATTGTCTAAACTTTATCATAGGTTAGCCAGTTTAATTCTGAAGCAGACTTTTTATTATTATGCATATAATATTATTATTGTATACTATTATATAATAGTAATAATGTTATTATTATTATAAACCATATTTCTCATGGTTAAAATGAGATTATTGAAGATGTTTATCACACATAATAGAGCTTGTAAATAGTGTAACCAAATAGTGAAACCAATTTAGTCTGAGTCCAGAATTCTGGAACCACTCTTAACCACTGTATACTGGAGAGAGAATAACACTAAAAGATATAGGATCTCTGCCCTCAGGGAGCTTAAATTCTTGTCCAAGTCTCAAGAGGCCCAGTCAAATTATACTTTTTTCCTGCCTGCAATCTAAATAAATTGGCATATAAAACAAAGGATTAATGACCCAATCAAAAAATGGGCCAAAGAACTAAACAGACAGTTCTCCAAGGAAGACATACAGATGGCTAAAAAACACATGAAAAGATGCTCAACATCACTCATTATCAGAGAAATGCAAATCAAAACCACAATGAGGTACCATTACACACCAGTCAGGATGGCTGCTATCCAAAAGTCTACAAGCAATAAATGCTGGAGAGGGTGTGGAGAAAAGGGAACCCTCTCACACTGTTGGTGGGAATGCAAACTAGTACAGCCACTATGGAGAACAGTGTGGAGATTTCTTAAAAAACTGGAAATAGAACTGCCATATGACCCAGCAATCCCACTTCTGGGCATACACACCGAGGAAACCAGATCTGAAAGAGACACGTGCACCCCAATGTTCATCACAGCACTGTTTATAATAGCCAGGACATGGAAGCAACCTAGATGCCCATCAGCAGACGAATGGATAAGGAAGCTGTGGTACATATACACCATGGAATATTACTCAGCCGTTAAAAAGAATTCACTTGAATCAGTTCTAATGAGATGGATGAAACTGGAGCCCATTATACAGAGTGAAGTAAGCCAGAAAGATAAAGAATATTACAGCATACTAACACATATATATGGAATTTAGAAAGACGGTAACAATAACCCTATATTCAAGACAGAAAAAGAGACACAGATGTACAGAACAGACTTTGGACTCTGTGGGAGAAGGTGAGGGTGGGATGTTTCGAGAGAAGAGCATGTATATTATCTATAGTGAAACAGATCACCAGCCCAGGTTGGATGCATGAGACAAGTGCTCGGGCCTGGTGCACTGGGAAGACCCAGAGGAATCGGGTGGAGAGGGAGGTGGGATGGGGGATCGGGATGGGGAATACATGTAACTCCATGGCTAATTCATGTCAATGTATGACAAAACCCACTACAATATTGTAAAATAATTAGCCTCCAGCTAATAAAAAAAAAATAACAACAACAAAAAAAATGGAGGCCGAAAACATCATCATTTTTGTAAAGTTTCCATTGGAAGATATCTCAATTTGAAAGTAAATTTGGTCTCCCAACCCAGGAATAAGCAAACTTACCTCCTCAGAAACAGGCAATGCTGGACCTAGGGGTTGGGGGTCACAGGATGGGAAGAGCAGAGAGGAAGTTCTGCTGCCTGTAGGATGTTCATTCCCAAGAGGAAGAAAGAGAAACTGAGCCTAGTCTAATTTGTATTTCCCAATTTTGCCATCTAGATAAGTCACTTCATTCTTCCAGGTGAGGAGACTGAAAGTATGAAGAAAACCCAGAAGTGTTCCATTCAATTTCAATTCTATTCCTCTCCTTTCTCTCTTTTCCTAACTGCTCCTTCTGGGCCACCTTCCTGTTGATTTATTTTTTGCAACTGGGAAATTATGCAACCTGCTCCTTTTGTTTCTCTTTTCTTTCCTTTCCTCATTGGATGACTGGATTCTTTCAGTGTGGGCAGGTAATGCTGATGATGAATTCTGTGAATTGTGGATGTGGGAGTAGAAGAAATATATTAATACTTGGAAATATTATTCTTCTAATATTTTGTACCTGAAAGACATAAAAGAGTGAATCAAATAATTTTTGAGAAAAATAAAATGAATTCAAATATTAGTCATGAAATGAGCTTATAGAGCATAACAGCTTTTACATGGGTTTTTATTTAAAAATATAAAAGAAGAAAGGATACCTTTTATAATATTAACAAAATAAATAAATCAGCTTGGAAAATTTTTAGTGAGAAATATTCTTATATGTAGAATCCTAAAATTCCAACAAAAGAACCTAAAAACCATGGAAAATGGAAATATATATCTGGTTTGTGGGTAATCACAAACATTACTTTGGCTATGTCAGTTCTTCTAAATTTAATAAATGTTATCTAAAACAAAATAATATGACTTTCTTGGGGGGTTAAAAAGGTAGATAAGGAAATAGAAGTAAAACTTAAAAATTAAACTAAAAAATTAAACAAAGGAAAATTTCCAGGTATGTCTTGAGAGAGATTATTAATGAGGGATTATCTCTGATCTACATTTTAAATATTTAAAAATGACAAGTACCCAAAGTGTTTCATTTTTATCGACTGAAAGATCAATTATTGATAGGGTAAAAAAATAGATGTCTCATATATATATTTACATCTATATGTATATATATATGGAGATTTAGTACATGAAAGATATAAAATACTATTTGTAAAGAAATCAGGATACTGGAACACGGTGTTGGGCAAATGACTATACATTAAGGCAAAGAAGAGTTAAATTATAAAATGAATTTGTCCACTGACCATGCTGTTATGTAAAAACAACTTGAGAGTGATACAAATATTTAATTACCAAAAATAATAATATAAAAATTCTAGAAGAAACTGTGATAAGTGAGGAAAGAAAGTTGACATAAAATCTAAAAATAGCAAAGAAGGCGGAAAAACTAATAAACTTTACCAAATAATTATTTTCAGTTCATGAAAATTATGGTGAGGTAAAAAACTGCAAAGTATGTGCAATGCATGGGATTTAAAGGGCTAGTTAGAATACAAAGAACAAGTTAAAAACAAGACAAATAATGAAAAGGAATATAGCAAAGGATTCATACATAAGTAATACATATAAAAAGAAAGTGACAAGAAACATTTAAAAAATTGACTTTCTTGTTTATCCAAGTGACAGAGAGCAGATAGAGGGACTTCTCAGCTTCTATAACCTGTGGACCCACTCCTATAGTAAATCCCATTGTTTTGACATCCGTATCTATCCTAATGGTTCTTTCTCTCTAGAGAACCCTAATATCCTTGTATATAAAAACTTTCGTTCTCTGAACTAGAAGGCTCATCAACAACCCAGGCTTCTTTTAGGTCTCTGCTTCCCCCTCCTTAGAATGTAGCCCTTGTTTTTATACTCCAAGGTAGATCTCCAGCCATCACATCTACTTTTCAAGGAACAGTATTGAGGGAGAGGAAGAAAGAGCAAAGAATAGGTAAAGGGCACATGCTGGGCACTGTCTAAGGAATTTTCCTTGAAATTACACACTTTTCTGCTTACATTCATTGGCCCTTAATTGATGACAAGGCTATATTTAATGAATAGCAGGAAGCTGGAAAATAGTATTTTCATTAGGTATATAAAATACAGGATGCAATTACTAAAGAAGAAGAGAATGGATTTTGGAATATGTAACTATTATTTTGTCACTGAATAAATTAAATTAACACTAAAGACTACTCTGTTACAATGGCTAAAATTTCATTATCCCAAATTATGTTCAGTCACTTTTCTAATATGCCATATCAGAGATTTTGCAAGAGACTGAAAAAAGACAATAAGAAATTCTGATAATAAAAGCTCAAACAAATTTGAGGACAAAGTAAAAAATCTTGCTCTCAGTTTTGGCTAAAGAATACGAAAGTACTTTAAGAGAATTTAAGAAGTGGGTTAGGTATAAAAAATGTATTTAGGTTTAGCCTCATCAGAATGCAGTAACTTTTACAGCATTAAGATCTGTGAACCAGGGACTTCCTTGGTGATCCAGGGTTTGGGACTTTGCCTCCTAATGCAGGGTGGGGGAGGGGTGTGTGGGTTCCATCCCTAGTCGGGAAGCTAGGATCCCACACTTTCTAAGCTGAAGTTGTTATTGAAGGTTTTGAAGTCTGAGCCCCTGGGGTTGGGAAGGAACAATTCCACAAGCTTGTGCTTCTACTGAGTTAGCCATTTCTCCATTTTTGACATCCATAAAGTTTGGGGCAATACTCTATTAGAGCAAGGGGAAAACCTGCAGGCCAAGTTATAATGACCAAATCAGCTTAAATCACACCCAGTAATGACTGAGTGGTTTCCAACTGCTCCTCTAGATTTTCTTTTGTGGTTCTGAATTCAGAATAGAATCTGGGCAGTGGACATAATGCTACTTACCTGGTCCTCTGTCTAATAACTTGAATCTAGAGATTTCCTGGGGCTTTCTGGCACATAAAGAGCTTACCCACCTTTGAGATTTGAGAAAGCATGGTTCCTTCCTCTGATGTTCAAGAGACCCATAACAGAACAGACCCTCTTTCTCAGAGGCAGCCTTTCCTCACCTGTACCTGCTCAGGAAAGCTCTGCTTGCCAACATCTTGAAGCCTGAAGCCATCTACATCAGGAAGACACAGTAGTTTTATGAGGCTCATGCTCTGTCTCATTCTCTAATCTTTCTCAGGCCTGCACCTTCACTGAGGTCCCTGTAGCCTCAGTTCTACCGCCAGCCTACCTGTGTCTGCTCACTAGCCAACATCCAAGCACCACTTTGCAAGATCACGGGATTGGGTGAAAGCATTTTGTACAGGCAACAATAATTGAAATCCAACTGCACAACTGGAAAAACCCAAGCCAAAATATTCTGTTTGTCCATAACCAAAGGCATAGCCATACCAAAAACCTTCTTTCTTTGTTTATACTTGCTTCTATTTTGCTTTCTTAAATTTTGCTCCATATAACTTCTTTCTTAAAAGGAAGTCTGGCCTAAGAAGAAAATGATGGAGTTTGTAAGGGGGTCGAACAAGTCAAAAGTAAGAAAAGGTATCAGATGGAAGTTAATACCATTCTTATTGGTAGAAGATATAGTTTCATGAGAAAAGTAAGTGGGTTTGCGGATTGTACTCCACAATTAGGCAGACTTACTCACCAACACACTAGCAATGCTGTGAAGTTTCCCTAGGGAGGAGCAGGGTTGTAGGCAGCCCATTCCCAAGGGAGGAAATAAACTGAACAAGATCCTTGGGTTATATTTTCCAAATTTACAAATCAAAGACTCCTTTCACCTCCCATAACTGAGAATGAGTAACGGAGCATTCCAAGTGCTGAATCACAGGTCAGGAATGTCATCTTTCTTTAATTCTCTATATGCAGAAGAATACATCAGAAATAAAGATTCCTGCCCTTCACCCAGTAATTTTATTTGGCAAAATATTAAATAACCAATAAAGTTATTTGCTTAAAATTGTAGAGAGCTAGTATAAATTTGAATAAAGGACTTGATCTATTTCTCCATCAGTATTATTCAATGGGGGCAATATTTGCATTTTGAGAGGGACAATATTTCAATGCACAAAACTGATCTCACACTGTGGATCGTTTAGCATCCAGGTCCTCGAGCACCAAAAGATAGCAGTGCTCAGTGACTCACTCACCAGTACAAGAAAAAATGCTTCTACATGTTCTTAAATATTTTCTAAGTGGTGACATCTCCCCCACCTGCACCCCAACTGCTACAGGTGATATATAAAAATTCTCAGAGTAGAAGACTCCCCTATGA